GAAGATGCCAGCCACAGAGACTGGCGAAACATTAGGAAGAACAACCTTCAGAACATGGCAAAAGAGCCTGAAAAACCCACAACAACCATTAGATCCCAGCCGTGAAAGCCTTCGCAAATACAAGTTACATAAACCTTTTACAAACACCAGTAGGTTAGCTTCCTCTGTTTTGAATGCACTTTCCCTGTGGTTGGGAGAGAAAAGTGTTCACAAGCAGTGTTCTTGTTGTTAACTTCTTTCTTTTCTGTGTGAACTCTTGCAGAGATATTACTCTGCATCTGCTGTATTGCAGGAAACTAACTGATACCCTTGCATAATATGCCTCCATAGTTCTGCCACAGAAAGAAAAGCATCCATGTTACCATTCGCTTGGGGGATTCTTCCCTGTAAAATATACCCAAAAGCTTCCAACATATGGCTTATAAGACTTGTCCTTCAGAGTTATATTGATGCTTCAGTCTTATTTGCTCCAGCAATAATTGTCATTTTCCTGAATTTGTATTTTTCATGCATTTCTGCGTTGAATAAAAATTTGTCTGCATTTAAAATTAATCTGTGCTTTATGTCAAGAATGCTGCACATATACATGTAGGGGGAAATATGCAACTGTTTCTACTTTATGGAGGGAATATTTTTCTAAAGGATACATAAACTTCAGAGTTATATTGATGCTTCAGTCTTATTTGCTCCAGCAATAATTGTCATTTTCCTGAATTTGTATTTTTCATGCATTTCTGCGTTGAATAAAAATTTGTCTGCATTTAAAATTAATCTGTGCTTTATGTCAAGAATGCTGCACATATACATGTAGGGGGAAATATGCAACTGTTTCTAGTTTATGGAGGGAATATTTTTCTAAAGGATACAAAAAATTATACTTGAAAATCCCCAAAGTAATGAAAATGTTCAACCTGATTCTGTGCATCTTTATTTAGGAGCAAGTCTCATTTAATTCAGTAGCATTTACTTCTCATTTGCTTATTTCAGAGTGATAATTTTGCAGCAATACAGTCCAATGCAGCTCTCACCTTTTCTCCAGAAAAAATTCAACTTCCAATTCTTCCTTGTCCTACAAATTAATAAATATAACATTAGCACATTATATGTGAACACAAGGACAAGACTAGTTTGACACTATTTTTAGATCATTCCAAAATATAAATCTATTCTGAACTACATGATACAGGAGAGACAGCTGCATGTCCAAAGTTAGGAGCTAAGCAGCAATACACAGATCTTCTGGTCAAAATATTTTCCACTATGGTAAGTATATTTTTTATTCTAAAAAATAATTATTTCTGCATCTGCATCTATACATGAACATTACTAGGTGTGAATTTTGTGCAAACTTGTCCCTTCTTTTGTCCTTTTTTTTGGATTATGTGTAAATAGTCACCCTACACATGTCATTTTAATTTGGGGGGGATGATTGAGAAATGACAGTGGTACCCAAAATTATGAACAACATTATAAACATTTGTATTATTAAGCTGTCTTGTATCCTGATTTTTGGGAGAAAAACAGAATATAAATCAAACAAATGAGTGCCTTCTCACATAATAATGAAACTTATGTTCAGATGTATTATGATTCACTATATGGGCCAAAATCCTATTAGATATGCCCACCACCACCATAATGCAATTGGTGTGAATTTTGTTAGCAAATTCCTGCAAATTAAGATGCTAATATAGGCAATTGCCATTTAATGTTGAACTATGTGAGGTGGTACACAAGAGCAAAGGCCCAAGCCACCATCTTAAGTTGTGACAATTCACCAGTGAGACTTACCCCAAATGTGTTAGACCAGCAAAAAAAACTCAAAAAGCTCATGATGTCACATATGTGCCTAAATGCTACTGGCTTTGCCTTTATAGAAAGCAATCTAGATGTTTTTAATATTTGCCATAATAAGCCAAATGAAAATTCTAATGAGCCTCTATCTCATACCTCTGATTGCTGGATGATGTGAGCCAATTAAAGGACATGGCTATTACATTGCGCCTCACCTATGAACTTCCTATAGGAAAAAAATGGCTGTTCTTGAATGCAGACTGCAGGATTAGATAGACAATGATCTGAGACAGCAATGTTGGCCTTACATTATACCTTGAGCATCTTGAGCCATATCTAGCGCAGAGGTGTAATGGAAATTAGAACAGATTACAGTGGTGCCTCGATTTACGAACTTAATCCGTTCCAGAAGATGGTCGTAACTCGAATTGGTTGTCTGTCGAAGCACCATTTGCCATAGGAACTCGAATTGGTCATAAGTTGGGCGATTTGTAAGTCAAAGCACCACTGTATATGGGCTCATGCACCTTAGAATCTTCTGCTGTATATCCAGTCACCCAAAAATGCTTACAAGGTGATATTCTGCACCAGCTGGAATTTCTCAAGAGACTTCAAAGACAGCTTCACAGGCTTAAATTCCACTTATAAGATAGCGGTAAGGAAGGGGAGGGGTAAATACTTAAGTCCCATATGTTATCAGGGTTCTCATTCCTAGGAGTATTGTAAGTGCAGTGGACATAGTCACCTTGTGCTGAATGCGCAAAGGTTTAGTTGACATCTCGGACAAGACCTTGAAGGTTAAATTTTCATGATCTAAAAGTCCCCAGTATAATACTATAAAGGGGCTCTAGTTTGGTGGAACAGTCCCAGATTCAGATGAGGTAGGAAAAGCTCCTGTCTGAAACCCAGGGTTGTTGCAGATGATAATTAGCTAGATAGACTGATAGTTCAGCTTGGCCTAAGGCAGTTTTCCATGTTCCTCATTACAGCATTCAGTTGAAAAGGTCAAGAGGATATGAATGACTGTCACAGGTGATAATCAGATGGAGATTATGAAAATCACTCCCAGCCCAACCCACCGAAGATCCAAGAGGAAAGACCAAGAACATTCCTATTTGCAAAGCTTCTTTTTGTTTAATCCACAGAAGAACAAACTTACTGACCTCTTTTAACTTGAAACACTGTTTCAAAGGATGACCTGCTTCAAGTCCTGTTACGTCAAACACAAGAGATGTAAGTTCATCACTTATAAGAACATCTTTGTCAAAGAGTTTCAGCTCCAGCGTATTCTGTAACAAGAGGGAGAGAATGGACAACTGAATGAAAAGAAAGAATGGTTTGCAATTAAGTGTCATGTTAAAGGCAACAGTCTTTTCCTTTCAGTCTGTTGTTTTTCACATGAGACAGTATAACTTCAAAAACAGCAAACACCATCACTATTAATACACTTGTAAGACTTGATATCATATTCCATTATCTGCTTCCCTAAACAATGAATCAGAAAGTAGTTGCAAAATAGTGCAGCAAGGCAGAGAAGGATTTACACTCCAATGAGTACTAACTACTGTCAGTATCCTGTTGTGCAGCAATGCATGCACAGTGGGAATGGTGTCATCATAAATGGCAGATTGCCAATAATTGAAGATGTCCTTTTTCTATTTTGGTGCATGAGTGACTTTAGCTCAATAGCTGAAAACCAGCAGTAAGTCACAGCTAGAGTAGTGGATTTGGTGAGTCAACTCTTCCATTGTTTCAATGAGCCTACTCTAGTTGTGACTTACTACTGGCTTTCAGCCATTGTGTACTAGCTGTACATGTGTGCCAAAATTTAAAAAAGGAAGTCTTTAATTAGTGGCAATATGTTGCTGGAGATTACATTATTCCCACGGTGCAAGCAGCTCTCTGTGTAGTTTCACAGAAACAACAGAAGAACATTACGAAGCCAACACAGTAATGTATTGTCACTACATTCATTGTTAATAAATTACCCACTTGCATTCATCCGCAGGCACTTCCACTTCATTAAACATTCATCTGTACAGATAATAGTCTTAAAAGGCTTTCAAAGGGGCATGGGTATTAGATTCCATCATCATAGCCTCAGCCCAGAATACTACCAAAATGTTATGCTAAAAAGTATGTTATACATGGACAGAGCAAGGACAGATCTTCTTTTAAGATCTTCTTGAAAAAGTACATCACACTGTAATAGTAGTCATTGCTACAGGGAGAAATGATGGCAAAACAGTTATTCGCATGAGGCAAAATCAGCCATGCATTTTCCTGCTTTCCTGTGGCTAGTAGCCCACTGGGACTTTTATCTCTGTTCTATTTCCTCTTCTTATCAAGGCTGACTGCCTGGAAATAGTCTGGGACAAGTGCCAAGAGTCAGAGTGTAGGAGTGAGACAAAGGAAGGAGGAAGAGATTGGGCAGAAAGCATAACCAGAACTTGACCATATGAAGAATGGTTTCCATAGAACACAGCTTGACTTTGTAATGTTGTCACCTGGGACAGGCAGCACCATTTCCCACCCATTCTGCCCTAAGGCACAGATACAAACTACCACCAAAGGAAAGAAGAAGAAGAATATGGCCACCAACTTTGAACAAAATATAAAATTTATGCTTTGAAAAACAGGGAAGTGAATAGGGCTAGAAGTGTTGTCATTTATTTTCACCTCCAGACCTTGGTGCTCTCTACAGTCTGGCTACTGAATAATAATTTCCAATGGTTGTTGTGGGTTTTTCAGGCTCTTTGGCTGTGTTCTGAAGCTTGTCCAGTAGCACTCCTGTCCTCTGAAGAGGCCGGCCACAGAGACTGGCGAAACATTAGGAAGAACAACCTTCAGAACACGGCCAAAGAGCCCAAAAAAACCCGCAACAACCATTAGATCCCGGCCGTGAAAGCCTTCACGAATAATTTCCAAGTCTGGATCAGGATTTCATTTTATTTTCCTGTGAAGAACATATGTTCTCAGAAAAACCATTAGTTGAAATGAAAATGAAATGAAAATGAAATGAACCACTGAAATGGTTCTCTTTTCTAAGATGAAGAATGCTGCCGAATATAAACGGTTCTGTACTGAAAAATACCATCCTTTACCTTAACAGCATTGTGGATTCTATACTGAAAAGTTTCATTCCATTCTGGATCACTGCAATTGTCAATAACCCGAGTTCGGTAAATGACAGGGGATGCTGTTGGAAGACTCAATTCCACATAGCAGTCTGCTTTGGACACTGCAGGAAGGAAGACAGAAAGAAATGTGGCTATGAAAGTGCTACTTAGCATCAACTCATTACTTTTTTCATGTCTACTAGATCTTCAGAAGGAGATAAGGCATTCTTCAAAGTAGCCCCCTTTAAAACAACAGTAGTTATTAACTAGTCATGTGAGGAGTTGGGTAGACAGTACTGAGCAATTTATCAGTGAAGCAGTGGTCTGCCTACATATAAAGGCAGTTTTCTATGTCCCCTGCCTGGCTGACTGTCACTGGAATCAAGATGATGGACTTGATGCCACCTTAGGTCTACTCATTTTTCAAACATGTTGCTCTTTTTTTCATGAATAAGACTTTCTGGTTTTCACAAGAACAAAACACGTTACCCAGCTGAGGAGACTCTTTTAACAGGAATAGTAAGACTGTGTGGGAGGGGGAAGAACAGAAATGCAAAAGATAACGTCTCCAGAGACTTACACAAATCTGTTCCTTGAATGTTTCTCGCTCGGAGAATTTTCACGGTGAGATTGTAGTAAGGGTGTTTCTCCCGCTGGAAAGATAATCAGCCCAAATATATTAAATTGTAACTAACTGTATCTGCCAAACATTTAAAAAGATAAAGTGTAAGCTGGTGGAGGCGGTATAAGTTGTCAAGGTCATGTTTCTATACATTGAATGTCTCTGGACATCATGAATTGCACAAGATGTCATTCTTCGCAGATTTTTGGATAAGAACTTGCCTATAGCATCTCCTAAGGGTTCACACTGAAAACATTTGTCAAGATAGTTATAATTAGGGCCTGTACAAATAAGACTGTGCCACTCTGAAGAAACGCAAATGTTGCACTAGAATTAAAATATCAAATGTAAATATGGAAAAACAATATTCCTGCAAGTGAGCCTTATTCTCAAGCCACCCAAGTTCCCATGTCAAGTGTACACTGAGGTGTTCTGCCATTCTACTAATTGGCCCAACACATCATCATGTCAGTCTTCTTTGGCCTTTTTCATTAGTTGTTATTTGAGGTTGTTTACCTCAATTCAGCAAATTTACAGCATAGGTTTGTGCAATTGTATACACTGCTTTGTTATACTGACAACAGCAATTGAGCATTAATTGATTGATTGATTGATTGATTGATTGATTGATTGATTGATTGATTGATTGATTAATTAATTAATTAAAAGAAAATGAAAATTGGGTTATCCAGCAAACTTCCTTCCACTCCCATCATCCCCACTTATGAGGGGATGTGGGTGGAAAGTCATAATAATGAAACCATTGCAGATCAAGAGTATGTAAGGCTACCAGGTTTGTATACATATTCTAGCTTTCTCTCAGTAGATTTATTTTTCCTGGTGAGAAACGGAGACCAAAGAAAACAGTGGGAAGGTGCAGGACAGTTACAAATGGAAGACAATGATGTCCAGACCTCCTGTAAAAACCCAAGTGGAACAAGTGCATGTTAAAACCTGCATATGAAAGTACTTACATCAACCTTGGTGTAAAGAAAAACTGTGTGTCTGTGTTCTGTGCTGTCAAGCTGGAACTGACATATAGCAACCCTAATATGACTTTCAAGGTAAGTGATATATTTAAGATATGGTTTTACCAGTTCCACTCCCCCACTGAGTTTCCATGACCAAGTGGAGTTTTGAACCCTGTTCTCCAGATTCCTTGTCTGGTCACACTATCCCAAGGTTGGGAACTACACCATGCTGGGAATCAGTGTGTTGCCATAAATCATCAACACTGAAATCCTGTTTGCAGAGCTATGATATGTAAAGCTGATTATGTTATCAGCTGTGGCAATTTTTGATATTTTTATTCACAAACTACCCTAAAATCTTTGAATGGAATTTGAAATTAAAATGCAGTTGCATCCTTATACACTATTGGCAAAAAACCTGTTGTAAAGTTATACCATGATACCATCATCATCTGACAAAGGGAATATCTAACTGAAAGCTTCCTATCCCCTTGTTAGAGTCCTGGGACAGGAGGAGGAGTCAACAATCACTGCAAAATCATCAACAGAAGTCCCAATCTCAGTGGCAGCGATCCAGGGGCAGTTTTTGACTGTTAAATGCTCCCCCTCCCCCACAATTTCAAGGCTTCCCCAGGGCAAAAGGAAATGCTAGGAAGTGTCAGAAACTGAAATGGCAGAATAAGAAACTTTTGAATTAACTTAAATTAATTGTTATCCAGTCTCCACAGTGTAAGTTTACACAAGATGTTTTGCCCCTTGCCTCTAAACCATCTTCTACAGTAAATAACACCAGAGAGCATCCCCAAAGGGCCCTCATTCAGCATCTTAATAGTTATCTATCATTTTTTGTTTTCTATCAGTTTATACACTTAATACATGTAGAGGTTTTAAGTTTAGAGTTATTGTGACTTGCCTGAGGTTATCCAGAGATCCCACCTATTATCCCTTCCCCCTCACCCATTCCAAAGTGAATTAAAAGTGGAGGCCAGCCCTTCCATATAACCAGCTCCTTAAAAGTGTTGCCTTCCCTCTACAGATATTTAGTTAACATATTAAAATGCTCAGGAAATGGAAACCAAAAGAGTACATACCGCATTGATCCCCGACAGTTGTTGAGAGAGCTGGAGTGCAATGGCAATGATGATGGCCTGCCGATAACTGGGGGAGCGGAAGAGCTCGGGAATGGTCACCTTTTTCTCTTGGGACATTTTGGCACTTTCTTCTTTCATCTCTTGGATATCACTGGAAACGTCTTGGACACCGCGAAGTTTCTGAAGAACTGGCAGATCAAACATTGGAATTTAGACAATGTCAGGCTTATGGAAGGGGGAACCATTTTATTTCCAAGTAAAAGTCCTTCCTACCCTGGAGCATTTGTATCTTTATCCTGATGTAACTTAACCAACACTTGAGATAAACTAGTTTTTGGTTTAACCTATTCATAATTACCACCAATTTTATCTTTTTCAAAAACCAACAACCTTACATTCCAATTTTTTCAAAAACCAACAACCTTACATTCCTCTCTTACTTTACTTTACTTTTACTTTACTTTTATTGGACTTATACCCCGCCCCCCCTAGACAAAGTCTACTCGGGGCAGCTTACATGAATAATAAAACACAATGTTATAGCATACATAATAAAATTCTATAAACTTGTTTCTATATACATTGTCAAGATGGAATAATTAAAGAAACAGCAAATCAGTTAATTGACTGGAGGGAAGGCCTGCCTAAAGAGCCAGGTTTATAAATGGTTTTTGAAAATGCCCAGCGAGGGAGCCAGACAGATTTCCATTGGGAGGCTATTCCATAGCTGAAGGGCCACTGCCGAGAAGGCCCGGTTTCTTGTCCTTTCCTTCCGGGCTTCTCTCGGTGTTAGGCCCCTCAGCCCCCCATCCTGGCTTTGTCAAGTGATTCGGGTAGACCTGGGTGGAAGATGATCTGCCCTGCTCAGCTCTTGTAAACTCAAGCATGTGCTTTCCTTTAGGGAGTCAATCCATCTCGTATTTGGCCATCCACTTTGCCTTCAACCTTTCCCAGCATTATTATCCTCTTTTCCAGAGAACCTTGGCTTCTCATGATGCGCACGAAGCATGACAGCCTCCGTTTCATAATTTTGGTCTCCAGAGAGAGTCCAGGCTCACTGGATCTCGGACCCTCTTGTTCCTCTTTCTGGCAGTCCAGAGTATCCGCAATGGTATCTCTAAGCACCCCATTTCAAACAAATCTCTCTTTTTTGGTACTTCTTACCACCCCAGAAACAAACCAAGCCGGCCCTGTTCTCCACCTGCTCGCCCACGTTCTAGCTACACCTCTCCTAATGACATGTAATGTCTCTTCCTACCTTTACAGCGTTCCTTTCTCAACTAACTCATCGTTACTTTCGATAAGCTTACAAAGTTACCCCCCCCACCCGTTTCCAACACGCGAGGGGGGGTTGCGGGGGCAGAGTTCCCGCCGTGTCGTTCCCTATTTTACAGACTATCCCGCATTTGTTCCAAAGTCAGGTTTTATTGTTACTATGATTACCCGCCAATGACGGAGGCCGGTGTCCTTCCTCTCCTTCTGTGGGAGCAGCAGGGCAGCCACGAGGGGCCACGTGCGGGGCGACCAGCGGCTGGCCAGCACTTGGCGGAACATGAGGACCTCTTTGCCGAGCGCCGCGGCGACGAGCTCAGGTAGCGCGGGGCGCAAAGGGTTAAGTCTTTGCCGATTCCTGCCCGGGACGAGGCTGAGCGGGTCATCTGGCGCGCGGGGAGGGGAGGGGCGTGGCTTGAAATGGCTCAGGTGCCTGCCTAGTCAGGCAGGATTTCTTTCTGAGGATGGGAGTGAAGGGAAAGGGGAGGCTGCCGCGAATATATGTATTTGTACTAAATCTGGCCGCAATAAACCAGATTTTTTTTTATCGTTTTCAACTTCTTATGTGTTTCCTCTGGGTTTTGTACCGCTTCCTCCTCGCTGTACCAGACTTTAGGGAAATAACAGCCCAGGAGTTTCGCTTTCCCAATGAAACCTGTCACTTTCCCAGGAAGTTTTGGTTTATGATTTCCAGAGTAATAGGTCGAGATGGCATGCGCATTGCAAATAATCTCAGTGCGCCTTAAAAAAAAAAGTGGGAACTTGACAGTGGATCATTTTTCGCATACATTTTTTTAAAAAAATCCCCTTTCATTCTCCAACCTCCCTATTGCTTAAAAATAAAATAAAGAATCCCCTTTCAGTCGGTCGCAATTTAAATCCTCCTTAAAAGGGCGCAACACAATTGTGTCAACCTCCCCATTGCTTAAAAATAAAATAAAGAATCCCCTTTCGGTCGGTCGCAATTTAAAAGGGCGCAACACAATTGTGTGCAAAAAGAAAGCATGCGGTGTTTAGTGGAATAAATGGTATTCAAGATAATAGGGCAGGAGAGGAAGAATTTATCAAGAGCCAAGAAAATGAAGAGCGATCCATTGATTTTCGAATGGAGACATTTAAAAATGGAGGAAAGGAAGACTTTCAAAAATATAACCGAGTGAACCTCGAGATAAATAAGACTGCTTTCTTAATTAGCTCTTCATTTGTGGACTGTCATAGAAAGCATGACAAAACCAGCAAACATAAAAACAAAAACATTCTTTTTATTTTTATTTTGTTTTTTTAATACATGCTGATACGAACTAACACAGCTACCTCTTTGAAAACAGGACATCATGAGCACAAACTACTTTTCAACATGTTAGGTGGTAGTAGTTTCTATTTTAAAATGGGTGTTCCTACCTTTGAAACAGGATGGGCAGCCTGACCTGAAGGAGTACATCACTTCCACAGTCTAAATGAATTAACCTTGTTGTATATAGATGATAATGGGATGCACACAATAAACAGGAACCAAGGTATATTACATGTTGTAGTAAGTGCCTGTCAAATGAGGAGTCTGCATATTAGTAACTAAACCAAGACCTGAGTTCAAATTATGCTGCCTGTCAAATGAGGAGTCTGCATATTAGTTAACTAAACCAAAATGGCTTAAGGACATAGGAAACTGTATTGTGACAGGTGGGCTGGGACTCAGGAGACCTGAGTTCAAATTACGCATTGGCCACATGATTTTCTCAAGGATGGGAGGTTACAAATTAATCCTAAATTCATTTATTACTTCAAGATAAACAAATATACTACAGATGCAAATTATCCTATGCAATCTAGAAACACTCTTGTGGACACTCTTCTTTGGCCATAAAACTCACTGGGTGAACTTACGCCAGTTACATCTGCTCACCTCATGCGCAGATGAGGTGAGCAGGAGAGCCGTATGTGCCACCTTAAGCTCACTGGAAGAAAATATATAAATTGTAGCAAATGTAATGAATATAAAATGCAGCAGAACAAGATATCTTTTTCTAGAATTACTTGAAATGTTCTGCTGCTGGTGACTATGATACCACCAACTGTTCCTGTCCTGCTACCTAGCTATTCTAAGTCATAACCAGCTGATATTTTAGTCTGTAAATATGGTACTTTCAAATAATTATTTGTGCATTACTCTATGTACATGCCGCGTAACATGTGCCTTTCATCTTGTACCTTCTTAAGGAAGTGTAGGAGTATCTCTTATTTACAATTGTAACTTAGTATCAACTTGATTTGAATACTTTGTGCATCAGGTGGGGTCAAGGGCTGGCTTTGATGGTAGATTAACCAGGCAGTTAGCTGGGACACCAAGTTGAGCACACTGAATGCTTTTTTTTAATGTACTGTCTATAATGCAGTACTAAAAGACAGAAAATGCTACAAAGGGAAACATACTACATACAAGGAAAGCCCTGGTTTTGCCAATATGAGGCAATCTCTCAGTCCCACCACTTTCACAAGCGGGTTTGGTGGGGACAGGGTGAAAAAACCTATATCTTCCTACCTGGTATTAAGATCACCAGGAGAGGCCTTTCTCACAGTCCCACTACCTACACAGGAACATTTGGTGGGGATGCAGGAGCGAGTCTTCTTTGCTGCTGTTCCCAGACTCTGGAACTCCCTCCCACAGGAGACCAGGCTGGCCCCATCTCTGCTGTCCTTCTGCAAGCAGGCAAAGATCTTTCTCTTCAGACAGGCTTTTCCTTCATGACTGGCAGTCTGAGAGTTTTTCCAATTGGATTATGGCACTTATTTGCTTTTAAATGTGTTTTTAGGATTGATTTTATTTACAATTTTAATATGATACTTGTTTAATTATTTTTTAATCTTTGTATATGTACTGTTCTTAGCTTTTAAATATTGTCCTTATAATGCTATGAGCCACGTTGGGTCCTTTTAAGGAGAAATGTGGTGTAAGGATAGTTTAAATAAATTTGCCAATGCGCAGAAAGTTCAGGGGGATAGATTTGTCTTGCACATATTGTATTCCAGTGGCTGAGTAATCAAGGCTTTGAGCAATATCATTCTTTACAGGTCATCCTTTGAGAGATGTCCGTACCACATGACAGAAGCTTCAGGGATCCCGGAAAGGTGCACTGAAAGCAAAGCAGAAAAGAAAAAAGCCCCAAAGGGAAAACTTGGGAGTAGCCAGGCCTGTTTCACTGCTCTGTTTTGCAATGACACAAAGTAAAACGCCTTGGGAGCAGTGCAAAGTTGCAGGGTTGCCGAAGAGAAGGTGGGGGCCCTGCAAAGTAAGGAGGTCCGTGTTTGTAGCTGCCAGGCCCCTGTCCCTTGGGACACCAGAATTCTTAGTATTCTGTTTAAAATTCTTATAAAAAGAAGAAACAATACATTAGCATGTAAAATTACGCTTCCACGTTCACTGGAAGAGACAATCAGGCTGAGAAAAGTGGAAGGCAGCTTGATGGGATGAAGACTGAACTTGGGGTGGATTGGCTCAAGAAGGAGCCACAGCTTCCGTTTGCAAGATGTCAGCAGAGCAGTGAATAATAGGACCTTTTGGAGTTTACTAATTTGTAGGATTGCCATAAGTTGGAAGTGACTTGATACTAGATGACAACAACAAAGAAAATACTGATTCCTGATATGTAATTACAGCTGTAATGAAGTACAGTAAATGTTTTATAAAGCTGCATGTGAACCAGAACAAATACTTATTTTAGGCTTAAGTGGTTGTTTAAAGCATTGATATGCAGTCCACATGGTAAAGAATAATTAAACAAATAATTTTTCCTCCTTTGGTCAAATTTGTTTGCTTGTTTGTTTGTTAAACTTTTATACTGCTCAATTCATGTAAAGCACTATTCTGGACAGTTAATAATCAATTAATCCAACAATAAACAGTAACACAACTATAATAATCAATAAAGCATGTCAAATCTGCTAAAACAATACAAAACAAGGGCTCCACAGCCTTAACTCAGAGCAGGGTGGCAGGGCAAGGCAGAATCATATAAGATTGTTCTCAGGGGCCTCTGTAAAAAAC